GGAAATGTAGTTAAAGATTCTTTATCTGAAAAAATTGTTCATAATCATTTTAATGTAATAGGTCAGAGCACTATAACTAAAAGAACTATGGTTAATGCTGTTTGCCGATTACCACTTTTCTGTCTGGTATTATAAATGTATGCCTTCATCAGTATAAGACTAATTTATTTTTAAAAAGCATTCTGATTTTGAGGGATAATTTTGGCCTAGGATATAAAACCAGCCTCCTAAATCTTGGATTTCCATAGCTTGTGACTGCTGTGTCACCTAGAATATGAAACAGGTGGCCATCTCATGCCATTCATTTTCTTCTGTAAAATGATCTCCCTATATCATATGGAAGTATATTTCTGAGTAAATGATACAAACACATTAAGAATGGAAGAAACTCAATACAATTACTTACTTTAAAATAGATAAAACATTTATTTGTAGTGGGTATAATATAAATATTAGTATGTTTCACTCTCTCCAGGAACAAATATATGGTCATAGAAAGCTTAATATGGTCATATTAAGTTGATCCTGTTTCTAATTCTGCATTAATCACAGCAGGGTCACACTGAAATCATCTAATAATTAGTCAACATAATAGTAGTTCCTTTTTTTGTTGTTTTTTTGAGACAGGGTTTTGCTCTTGTTGTCCAGGCTGGAGTACAATGGTGTAATCTTGGCTCACTGCAACCTCCGCCTCCTGGGTTCAAGTGATTATCCTGCCTAAGCCTCCAGAGTAGCTGGGATTATAGGCACCTGCCACCATGCCCAGCTAATTTTTGTATTTTTAGTAGAGACGGGGTTTCACCGTGTTGGCCAGACTGGGCTCGAACTCCTGACCTCAGGTTGATCCACCTGCCTCGGCCTCCCCAAAGTGCTGGGATTACAGGCATGAGACACTGCACCTGGCCAATAATTCCATTTATTGATTGCTTTCCACTTGCCTATAGCTGTGGTACGTGCCTTACTTACATTCTCTCATTTAATCCTCATAACAACCCTGGAAGATAAATAAGCACCCTAGTTCCTTTTTCCACATGCAGAAACTAAGTCTCAACAACATGAAGCCGCTTGGACAAGGTCTCACTGTTAGTGATTGACACAGCCAGGATTCAAACCCTGGTTTGACCCCAAAACCTGTGTGTGTATGTGTTCTTAACCCCTGCACTATTTTAATTAAGTCATAGCTAGACAAAAATTTATTAGAATTGTGATAAATGGACATAAGATTTCTGCTTCTGGAAAGTTGTTAGTGACTAATAGCCACAGAGGAAGCATTATGCTTAAAAAAATAAAGCTTAGCATTATGCTTTGTTTTCTAAGAGCTTTACTAGACTACTTATTTATTGCAAATGCTATTCCCCTGAGATAAGCCAGCAGCTCTCAAACTTGCAGCACATCAGAATGACATGACAAGCTTGTAAACATGGAACTGCCCAGGGCCCCATTCCGGATCCACTTAGTCAGAATCTCTGTGGGTGGGGCCCAGACATCTGATGTTTATTAAGCCCTGCAAGTGATTATCACACACACACAAGTTTGAGAATCATGGAGGTCTGTGAGTGGTAGGGTTTTGTTGTTACTGCTTTAGGAATTATAATTTTCAGGTTTGTCAGTTTAATCAGGGCCTCACAGGAAGTTTGGGAATAACTATAACTAAGAAATTATAAATCATCTTGTCTAATTGCGTAGTATAATTGTCAACTGGCAACATCTGTGGCATGATCTATTGTAATAGAACTCACTGAATTTTCATTTTTTTCTCATTGAAAAATTGTGTAAGCATAGAAATGAAAAAACAGTCCTAAAATGTATATGGAATTACAGAAGACCCAAAATAGCCAAAATTACACTAAGCAAAAGAACAAAACTAGAGGAATCACATTACCTGACTTCAAATTATACTACAGAACTGTAGTAATCAAAAGAGCATGGTACTGGCATAATAATAGACACATAGACCAATGGAACAGAATAGAGAACTCAGAAACAAATCCACACACCTACAGTGAACTCATTTTCAACAAAGGGGCCAAGAACATACACTGGGAAAAGAGTCTCTTCAATAAATGGTGCTGGGAAAACTGGATATCCATATGCAGAAGAATGAAACTATATCTGTATCTATCACCATATACAAAAATTAAATCAAAATGGATTAAAGGCTTAAAACCAAGACTTTAAACTATGAAACTACTGCAAGAAAACTGGGGTGGCCAGATGCAGTGGCTCATGCCTGCAAGCTTAGCACTCTGGGAGGCCAAGGTGGGCAGATCCCTTGAGCTCAGAAGTTCAAGACCAGCCTTGGCAACATAGCAAAACCCTGTCTCTACAAAAAATACAAAAAATTAGTTGGGCATGGTGGCACATGCCTGAGTACTAGTCGGGAGGCTGACATGGAGGATCACTTGAGCCCAGGAGGTGGAGGTTGCAGTGAGCTGAGATCAAACCACAGCCTGGGTAACAGAGTGAGACCCTGTCTCAAAATAAAATAAAATAAAATAAAAAATAAAAAGCATTGAGGAAACTCTTCAGGATATTGATCTGGGCAAAAATTTCTTGAGTAATACCCTGCAAGCACAGACAACCAAAGCAAAAATGGAATCGACAGATGATGTCACATCAAGTTAAAAAGCTTCTGCGGCTGGACATGGTGGCTGACACCTGTAATCCCAGCACTTTGGGAGGCCGAGGTGGGCGGATCGCCTGAGGTCAAAAGTTCAAGACTAGCCTGGCCAACATGGTGAAACCCTGTCCATACTTTAAAAAAAAAAAAAAAAAAAAGCTTCTGCACAGCAAAGGAGAAAATCAGTAAAGTGAAGAGACAACCCAGAGATTGGGAGAAAATATTTGCAAATCACCCATCTGAAAAGGGATTAATAACCAGAATATATAAGGAGCACAAACAACTCTATGGGGGAAAAATAATCTGATTGGGTAAAAGATTTTAACAGACCTTTCTCAAAAGAAGGCATATAAATGATAAACAGGCATGTGAAAAGGTGCTCAACATCACTGATCATCACAGAAATGCAAATCAAAAGTACAGTGAGAAATAACCTCACCCCGGTTAAAATGACTTTTATCCAAAAGGCAGTAACAAATGCTGATGAGTATGGAGAGAAAAGAGAACTCTTGTACACTGTTGGTGGGAATGTTAATTAGTACAACCACTTTGAAGGACAGTTTGGAGTTTCCTTGAAAAGTTAAAAATAAAGCTACCATAGATCCAGCAATCCCACCACTGGGTATGTACCCCAAAGAAAGGAAAGCAGTATATTGAAGAGATATCTGCACCATGTGAAGAGATATCTGCTGATATCATGTTTATCACAGCACCATTCATCGTAACCAAGATTTGGAAGCAACCTAAGTGTCCATCAACAGATGAATGGTTAAAGAAAATGTGGTACTTAACAATGGAGTACTATTCAGCCATAAAAAGAATGAGATCCTGTCATTTACAACAACATGGTTGTAACTGGAGATCATTATGTTGAAATAAGCCAGGCACAGAAAGACAAACATCACATGTTCTCACTTACTTGTGGGATCTAAAAATCAACACAATTGAACTCATTGACATGGAGAAAAGGATGGTTACTAGAGACTGGGAAGGAAAACGAGGGACTGCAGGGAAGGTGGGAATGTTTAATGGGTATCACAAAAATTAGAAAGAATGAATAAGATGTATTTAATAGCATGACAGGGTGACTATAAGCAATAATTAAATCGTACATTTTAAAATAAAGAGTATAATTGGAATGTTTGTAACAAAGGATAATGCTTGAAAGAATGGATACCCCATTTTTTTCATGATGTGATTATTATGTGTTGCATGCTGGATCAAAATATCTCACATACCCGATAAATATATATACCTACTATGGACCCACAAAAATTAAAAATAAAAATTTTTTAAAGATTGTGTATCAATGGTAACAGCTAGCCCTCTGTTTTGTATGTGTTTCATCTTTTTCCCTTGGCATGTGAAAAATGATGGTTGTTTTTCTGTAACTACTATAAATAAACTCTCAGCCAGTTTAAAACAACAATTGTTCAGACTCCAAATAAAGAACCACAGAATCCCAAGATTAAAGTGATCATGCACAGCCATATGTTACTTGCATTCTCTTTTACAGCATCTCCACCGAGTGACTAAGTGGCTTATTCCTGTAGGAATTCCTGGCTATCCCCTGGGAATGATCTATTCTGTCTGACTTAAAAAACTCTTCCTTATAATAAGATTGAATCTGTTTCCCCAGAGCTTCCATATATTAGTCCTTTTTAGAACTTTCTTGTCAAAACTTCTTACTCAAATCAACCAAAACCTTTGCTCAAGAAGATGACTTGATTGCTGTTTTCTGGAATTTCACAGGTTATAGGACTTAGGCTGGGCACAGTGGCTCACACCTGTAATCTCAGCACTTTGGGAGGTCAAGGTGGGCAGTTCACTTGAGGTCAGGAGTTCAAGACCAGCCTGGCCAATGTGGTAAAACCCCATCTCTAAAAATGCAAAAAAGTGGCCAGGTGTGGTGGTGCATGCCTGTAGTCCCACCTACTTGGGAGGCTGACACAGGAGAATTGCTTGAACCCAGGAGGCGGAGATTGCAGTGAGCCGAGATAATGCCACTGCACTCCAGCCTGGGTGACAGAGTCAGAGTCCATCTCAAAAAATAAAAATTATGGCCCGGTGTGGTGGCTCACACCTGTAATCTCAGCACTTTGGGAGGCCGAAGCTTGCAGATCACCTGAGGTCAGGACTACAAGACCAGCCTGACTAACATGGTGAAATGCCGCCTCTACTACAAATACAAAAATTAGCTGGAGGTAGTGAGTGGCAGGTGCCTGTAATACCAGCTACTCGGGAGGCTGAGGCAGGAGAATCAATTGAACCCAGGAGGCGGAGGTTGCAGTGAGCCAAGATCATGCCATTGCACTCCAGCCTGGGCGGCAGAGGAAGACTCCATCTCATAAAAAAAAAAATAAACATAAAAATAAAAATCATGGCACTTAAACTAAATTCATAATTCATATTGTTTCTTTATAAATTTCAGTCATTCTTTATAGAGACACTTGTTCTGGGGTGTTTAAATATAGAGGCTCAATGACAGAAAAAGGAATGTGATCTTATACTCTGTCAAGGCATTCTAAGTGTTCCATTTATACTTAGCATGCAGCAACCAGATTTAAAGTTTAAGGAGTTATTTGCTTTGTTTATGAGTTATTCAGAACTTTCTTAAAACCCTGTGGTTGTTTATGGATGTCTTCTAAATGAAAACTACATTGTATATCTGGTTCCTTGCTCCTTTGAAGCTAGAAGGAAAAATCACATTTGGGCCAGAGGTGGTGGCTCACGCCTGTAATCCCAGCACTTTGAGAGACCAAGCAGGGTGGATTGCCTGAGCTTAGGAGTTAGAGACCAGCCTGGGCAACACGGTGAAAACCTGTCTCTACAAGTTAGCCGGGCATGGCAGTGTGTGCCTGTAGTCTCAGCTACTCGGGAGGCTGAGGCAGGTGAATCACTTGAAGTCGGGAGGCAGAGGTTGCAGTGAGCTGAGATCACACCATTGCACCAGCCTGGATGACAGAGCAAGACTCTATCTCAAAAGAAAGAAAAGAAAGGAAAGAAAGAAAGAAGAGAACATGTATGTCCTTTCTACCCGAGATCTGAAAGAAAGAAGAGAAAGAAAAAGAAGAAAGAGCATGTGTGTCCTTATTACCCGAGATCTCCAGAAAGAAGAAAAGAAGAAAAGAAAGAAAGAAAAAGAAGAAAGAAAGAAAGAGAAAGAAAGAAGGAAAGAGAACATGTGCGTCCTTACTACTCTAGATCTCCTAAAACTCCTTCCTCGAGGTATACACTTTTTTTCACCACCCTTTTCCACAGACCAGAACTTGACTTAAAGCCCAAGAAAAGAAGGGCAAACGCATTGCTAACCAGTAGCCCAAATGATTGCCATTTAACCTTCAAAGCCCTGCATTCAATTAGAGTCAAATACAGGCAGCAACTAAGATAAAAAAAATCAGGGGAGTGTTGGGAAGGGACATTTTCCTAGTAGGCCTTCCTTGCTATAGGTGTATTTGGGTGTAAATCCGAATATTAGAGGAAAAGCCAAACCCTACTATGGCCATCGAGACAGGCCAGCCAGGTTGAGCACTGAAAATACTAATCATGTGGAAATAACATTATATACTAACATAAAGAGAATTTGCAGTTTGATTATGACTTAAAAGGAAAGTTACGAGGTATGCGCCCAGGAGACAGTCCCTTCTCCAATATCCTTTTTCCTGAGGTAGAATGGAAGGCCAGCATTTTCCTCCGTTTCCCTTGAGGCTTCCAGATTTGGTCCTGTCATGAATCTTCTTTTCTGTAACTGTAGTGATCTCTTTTTGTCACTGTCAGCCCATCTATTCAAGATATTTTGCCACCTCTTCTTTAGCATCTGGTTCTACCTAGTCTCCTACCCTCATTGATGCATCTAGATTCAAGTTGATTCTTCAGGTTTCAAAGGAAGTATAGAAAAGAAACATTTGAGATACTTGTATTTACAAGAGAAGACTATGAACTTACAGACATGTGCTGACAACTAAAAAAGTACCCTGTGGGAAATTATATATGTATACTTCTGCTTTAGCAACAAGGGACTGCATGGTTGATATTTGAACTGCAATAGTATCTGTGTTAAAGTCTGACTTTTGGAAAATTATAGGCAAAAATGTATCCATTTGTATCATTAAACTTTCTAGGGTTAATACCACACAAATTAACAGAGTATACCATTTTTATAATTAAAAAACAAGAAGAGAGGCCAGGCGAGGTAGCTCACGCCTGTAATCCCAGCACTTTGGGAGACCGAGGTGGGTGGGTCATGAGGTCAAGAGATCAAGACCATCCTGGTCAACATGATGAAACCCTGTCTCTACTAAAAATGCAAAAATTAGCTGGGCATGGTCGTGCATACCTGTAGTCCCAGCTACTCGGGAGGCTGAGGCAGGAGAATTGCTTGAACTCAGGAGGCGGAGGTTGCGGTGAGCCAAGATCACGCCGTTGCACTCCAGCCCGGGTAACAAGAGTGAAACTCCGTCTCAAAAAAATAAAAACAAAAACAAAAAACAAGAAGAGGCCGGGTGTGGTGGCTCCCACCTGTAATCTCAGCACTTTGGGAGCCTGAGGCAGGTGGATCACTTGAGGTCAAGAGTTCGAGACCAGCCTGGCCAACAGGGCAAAAACCCATCTCTACTAAAAACCCAAAAAATTAGCCAAGCATGGCGGCATGCGCCTGTAATCCCAGCTACTGGGGAGGCTGAGGCAGAAGAATTGCTTGAACATGGGACAGAGGTTGCAATGAGCCGAGATCGTGCCACTGCATTCCAGCCTGGACAACAGAGCAAAACTGTCTCAAAACAAAACAAAAAACAAACAAACAAAACCCCAAAAAAAACCAAGAAAAAGCAGCAATGGAGAATTATGACCAACTCACAACAACACTGCTGATCCAGTTTCAGACAGCATACTGTCTGAAAATCATAGGAATTCCAACTATCTGCCTCTGACCATTAGTTGTGGGAGCTCAGCAGTCTGCCAATTATTGTATGGCTGCCAGTCTTACCCGAAGAATTCTGAATTAGAGTCTTCAACAAACCAAGGCCAACTTTCCTATTAGGCACAGTAGATACAGGGCCTAGAGCCAATGATACTTTCAGGGCTCCACAAAAATGTCTTAATTCCTTTTAAAATAAGAAGAAATAAATAATAGTGAATATACCTTAATGAATCTGCCTATATTATATTTTCTTTATCCCAATAGTCATAAAATATATATATATATATATTTTTTTTTTTTCTTTTTTTTTTTTGAGACGGAGTCTCCTTCCGTCGCCCAGGCTGGAGTGCAGTGGCGTGATCTTAGCTCACTGCAACCTCCACCTCCACTTTCGGCATTCAAGTGATTCTCCTGCCTCAGCCTCTCGAGTAGCTGGTATTTACCAGCCTGGCCAACATGGTGAAACTTTGTCTCTACTACAAATACAAAAATCAGCAGAGCATGGTGATATGTGCCTGTAATCCCAGCTGCTAGGGAGGCTGAGGCAGGAGAGTCACTTGAATCTGGGAGGAAGAGGTTGCAGTGAGCCAAGATCACACCAGTGCACTCCAGCCTGGGTGACAGAGCAAGACTCCATCTCAAAAAATAAAAATAAATAAAGGAGAGGACTGCTCTCCTTTAAAAAAAAAAAGCAATATCAATACAATATATTTTCTTGATCCCTCTGTGGGACTCAAGACAGGGGTGCCCCGTTTACTCTGCCATGGGTTTCAAGCTTTTGAGCTTGAAAGTGGGATTTTGCCAGGTACCTACCCCTGTCTGCCTCCTGCCTCTATCAATGTGACTGAGTAAACAAACACACAAACAAATCCTTGACCAACAACTCTACCCATAGGACATGAGTACTCCAGATCCCACAAGAAGCAGAGGAATCTTCCAACGAATGTGGAAAGGGTAGTCATAAAAAGACAATAAAAAAACTGCAAAATTCTTAGAAGAAAATATAGGGGGAAAGCGTCATGGCAATGGATTTAGACATGATTTCTTAGGCCAGGTGTGGGGGTCATACCCGTAATCTCAGCACTTTGGGAGGCTGAGGCAGGCAGCTCACTTGAGCTTGGAAGTTTGAGAATGAACATGATGAAACTCTGTCCCTACTAAACATACGAAAGTTAGCCAGGCATTGCGGCCCATGCCTGTAATCCTAGCTACTCAAAGGCTGATGCAGGAGAATCGCTTGAACCTGGGAGGTGTAGGTGCAGTGAGCTGAGACTGTACCACTGCATTCCAGCCTGGCCAACAGAGTAAGACTCTATCTCAAAAAACAACAGCAAAAAAATAAAAATAAAAAAAATAAATGATTTCTTAAATATGACATACCAAGAAGAGCACAGATAACCAACATAAAATAAAAACAAAATGAACTACATCAAAATTAGAAACTTCTGTGCATTAAATGACACAATCAACAGAGTGAAAAGGCAACATACAGAATGGAAAAAATATTTGTAAATCACACATTTGATGTGATGTTAATATTCAAAATATGTACAATACTCCTACAATTCAACAACAAAAAATTCTATTTGAAAATAGGCTAAAAGCTAGGCATGGTAGCTCACACCTGTAATTCCACCAGTTTGGGAGGCTGAAGCAAGAGGATTGCTTGAGCTCAGGAAATTGAGACCAGCCTGGGCAGCATTTTTTTTTCTGTCTCCACAAAAAATAGCAACAATCTGCCAGGTGCGGTGGTACACGCCTGTAGTCCCAGCTACTTGGAAGGACTAGGTGGTTAGATCTCTTGAGCCCAGGAGATTGAGGCTATAGTAAGCCATGATCATGCCACTGCACTCCAGCCTTGGAAACTGAGCAAGACCCTGTCTCAAAAATAAAAAGGAACAGAAATAAACACAACAGAAAATAATAAATGTTACTGAGGATGTGGAGAAACTGTGTACTGTTGGTGAGAATGTAAAATGGTACAGCCACTATGGAAAACAGTATGGCAGTTTTGACAAAAACTGAAAATAGAATTATTATGTGACCCAGCAATTCCACTTTTAGGTATATATCCAAAAGAAGTGAAGGAAAGCACTTGAACAGATATTTGTATACCTATCTTCTTAGCAGCATCATTCACAATAGCCAAAAGGTAGAAGCAACCCAAGTGTCCATTGAGAGAAGAATGGATAAACAAAATGTATTACATACATTCAATCTAATTTATTTAGACTTTAAAAAGAAAACAATTCTGATACATGCTAGAACATGAATGAACCTTAAGGTCATTATGCTGAGTAAAATAAGCTATTCACAAAAAGAACATGCTGTATGATTCCACTTGTATGAGTTATTTAAAGTAGTCACATTCACCTGGCACGGTGGCTCATTCCTGTAATCTCAGCACTTTTGGAGGCCAAGTTAACTGGATCACTTGAGGTCAGGAGTTCGAGACCAGCCTGGCCAACATAGCAAAACCCCATCTCTACTAAAAATATAAAAATTAGCTGGGAGTGGTGGTGCGCCTGTAGTCCCAGCTACTCAGGAGGCTGCAGCAGAAAAATCGCTTGAACCCAGGAGGTAGAGTTTGCAGTGAGCCAAGATCGTGCCACTGCACTCCAGCCTGGGTGACAGTGAGACTGTCTAAAAAAATTTTTTTAAAAGGTAGTCAAATTTACAGAAGCAGAAAGAATGATAGTTGCCAGGGGCTGATGGTTGCCAGGGGCTGTGGGCAGATGGGGAATTTAATGGGTATAGTTTCAGTTTTGCAAGATGAAAAAGTTCTGGAGATGAGTTTTACAATAATGATATACTTAATACTTGCAACAGTGATATACTTAACACTACTGAAATGTACTCTTAAAAATGGTTGAGATGATAAAAATTTTATCATCCACCCATTTGCACATTGATGATGATAAATTTTTATTTATTTTTATTTATTTATTTATTTATTTTTGAGATAAGTTCTCACTCTGCTGCCTAGCTGGAATGCAGTGGCATAGCCTGGGCTCATTGCAGCCTTCATCTTTTGGGTTCATGGGATCCTCCCACCTCAGCCTATACTATACTACAGGTCATTTGAGAGATGGGTTTCACCAGGCCAGCAGAGCCTAAAAGCACAAAGTGCAGTCAGTGCAACATAACTCCTTCCCCTCAGCTAATTTTTGTATTTTTTGCAGGGACAGAATTTTGCCATGTTGCCAAGGCTCATCTCCAACTGCTGAGCTCAAATGATCCACCCACCTTGGCCTCCCAAAGTACTGGGATTACAGGCATGAGCCACCGTGCCTGGCCTGGTAAATTTTTTATGTGTATTTTACCACAGTTGTTTGTTTGTTTGTTTGTTATGGAGTCTCACCCTGCCACCCAGGCTGGCATGATCTCAGCTCACTGCAACCTCCACCTCCTGGGTTCAAGGAGTTCTCCTGCCTCAGCCTCCCGAGTAGCTGGGATTACAGGCATGAACCACCGCACCTGGCTAATTTTGTATTTTCAGTAGAGACTGAGTTTCTCCATGTTGGTCAGGCTGGTCTCAAACTCCCTACCTCAGGTGATCCGCCCACCTCGGCCTCCCAAAGTGCTGGGATTACAGGCATGAGCCGTTGCGCCCGGCCCAGTTTTTTGTTTTTTTAAAAGTAAAATCCTAATTGAGGCATGAAGGAGATCCAGATTTGCATTGATTTTGTAGAGATATAAATAGAGCACTAATGCTTTATAAGGGCTGGCATGTGAGGTAGCAAAGTGGAGAATGTACAAGGAGAGCTTAGGATGTCGTGTCTGGAGCTGGAGTTTAACTACTGTCCTAAGTTCTGTGACTGTTCTTAGAGCCAGTCCTTTAGCCTGAGTCCCCATAGTGCATTGAACATCCCTATACTGTACCACAGGCCATTTGAGAAGCGAGTTTCACGAGGCCAGCAGTGCCTAAAAGCACAAAGCGCAGTCAGTACAACATAACTCCTTCCCCCTAACACTTTCACTTCTTAGTCACTGTTGTTCAATTATAGTAACTAACAATATTTACATTTTAGCATTTACAAAGCACTTTAGAATATCTCGGGATGTTTACAGTTTTATAACATTTCTTAATATCAAAGATGATTGCCTCCTCTTCATGTTTATAAGTTATTTAGCATATCTTCACACTTCGTCAATTTATTTTACATATGTTTTTCACAGATTTGGTGGAAAAAAATGAGAATTTAGAGTAAAATGAGGAAAATGAAATATTTCCATTATAATTTATTTTTGCAGGACTCTGAGGCAGGTTGGGATTCCTCTTGAACTCCCTCTGAGAATGGTGGATGACCTCTCTGATTTCAGAGGGCTTTATAGGGAACTTCAGAAAGCCAAATCCACAGTCCTAGTGGATGACAAGCGTTTAAAAATATTATGGGAATCGGCTCCCGTTTACTGGAGTGAAAAAGATTAGCTAATCTACGTGAAGTAAATGAGATTTGAAAACTTAAAGCTCAAAAATCACTTAAAGTAAATCGGTATTTGGAGATTAGCACAGCTGAAGTTTCCTCAAGCATTCTGCTAGTGTTACTATATTAAAAAAACAAAACAAAACACACAAACCCATTGACTTAAATATAAAAGAGAAGTGGCTAAAGGTATGATCCTTGTTACTTTGTAGTCTTACCTTATAACTGACTACCTCTTACATGTAAATAGATAGTCAATGTGTGAAGAATAGTTTGAAAAGCACGATTACATCAGTGCTGATAAGCAGAATACTGAAACAGAACCAGGAAAGGCCGAACGTATCCCCAAAGACGTCACTTTAAATGATCATGAAAAGTCCAGATAGAGATGATAACTGTTTTTTGACAGATTCCAATTTTAAGAGTCCAAAGTAAATTCTATTATATATATTTAGCAATTATATATTTTTAGTTCAAAGTAAATATTCTATATTTTTATCTAATGTATATGTGTGTGTGTGTGTGTGTGTGTGTGTATATATATATATTTAGCAAGTTTACTTCCCCCTTTATTTTGAAAAATAGCTTTAGATTTTTGACTATAAAATGTTGCCAAAAACAGAAACTTAAAAAGAACACTGAATAAAATAAAAATATTACATGTGAACCCTAGAGTTTACTTCTGTTGATATAATCTGACATTTATAAACATTCCTGAAGCATGGGTTTTGAGATTTGTTTCTGTCCCTATCTTTGTTCACCCCCTTGTGGCCATGATATGAACAGCTAGGCAGCAAAAAAAGAAGAGGGAGAAAAGTGCACCGCTTGGATAGTAAACCACTTTAACACTTTTTGCAGTAATTAACATATATAGTTCTACATGAAATACATATGTGTCACGGTCTTGGCAGGAAACAAAGGGAACACTCAAAAAAGGTGATTGTAAACTTCATTAATCTTTTCTTGAAGTATGGGGAGTGTTAGGAGAAACTGCAAGGGGTGTGTTACTAGTAGACAGCTCCCATTGGCTGAACCAAACAGGAAGCCAGAAGGAAATGGAACTGAATTTTTGCAGCCCTTAAGGGTCCAGCCTTCCAGGACACAAAGCAGGGTGAGAGTAGAAAGTGATCTAGCTGGTCCGGGCATGGTGGCTCACGCCTGTAATCCCAGCTCTTTGGGGAGCCAAGGTGGGCAGATCACGACATCAAGAGATTGAGACCATTGTGGCCAACATGGTGAAACCCTGTCTCTACTAAAAATAAAAATATTAGCTGGGTATTGTGGCACGCACCTGTAGTCCCAGCTACTCGGGAGGCTGAGGCAGGAGAATCACTTGAACCCAGGAGGTGGAGGTTGCAGGGAGCTGAGATTGCGCCACTGTTCTCCAGCCTGGGTGACAGAGCAGACTCCGTCTCAAAAAAAAAAGTGATCTAGCTAGACAAACTGAGCCAGTCCAGCACAAAATCTTTCTACAATATTTTCATTATAGTTTCTTTTATAAAGCATGAGTCCAAGGGCTACATTATGGGAAAACACATAATTTGGAGTTGAATCTCTATCCAATTCCTCTGGCCTACTTGGAAAGCAGTAGAGATAACAGAATTTCACCTCCCTGAAAACATCACTCAGGCTTTTCTTCTCCATGTAATGCCTACGGGGGTATAAGCCTGACATATGAGAGGTTTGAAGCATTGGATAGTTTAGTATGCGTAGCAATAAGGGAAAGGAAGGCAAAAATGGGGATACAGAGACCTCAGTTGCTGTTCACTGCTGGTCCTTTTCCACCTTTTGTCCTACTGAATAGTAAACTTCCCAGATCCTATCTGAGGTATTGTGATGAGCACTCATTACCTGTTAGTCAAACTGAACAAGTGTCTAAGATACCACCAGCAAAGAGGGGGCACCAAAAATATATGGAAAAAAAAATCAGGAAACTTGGGATGAAGCTGTTTTTATTTCAGCATGTTTCTAAATTTTGCCATTTTTGAAATCATTTTTGAAAAATAAAATTTTATTCATAGTTTAGAAAGTGTGTAATGGTCAGTGGGCTGTAGCACATTATAATCTTTTGTCCCATTCCATTATTTCTCAAATAATCTTTTTATTATGGTTCCAAAAATGCTTACTTCTGCTCTGTTTGGGACTGAAACAAAGGCCTGTCTCAGGGTTCAGCTCAACGTGGGCTGATTTTAAAATCAGGATTTTGAGGCTTTTATCCTTCATGATAACTATCCTTGGCTGAACACATGGCTTTATTCCTCTTTAGCTGCTCTCCATTAATCCTACAATACAACTTAGATTTAATTCACCATATGGCAGAAGAAGGATTAAAAAACCAAGAAGGGCCAGGCATGGTGGCTCACACCTGTAATCCCAGCAATTTGGGAGGCTGAGGTGGGTGGGTGGATCACCTGAGGTCAGGAGTTTGAGACCAGCTTGGCCAACATGGTGAAAGCTTGTCTCTACTAAAAATACAAAAATTAACTGAGTGTGGTGGTGGGTGCCTAGTAATCCCAGATACTCGGACACTGAGGTTGAACCCAGGAGGCAGAGGTTGCGGTGAGCTGAGATTGTATCATTGCACTCCAGCCTGGGCAACTTTGGAATGCCAAGGTGGGCTGATTACAAGGTCAAGTTAGAGACCAGTCTGGCCAACATAGTGAAACTCCATCTCTACTAAAAATACAAAAATTAGCCAGGTGTGGTGGCACAAACCTGTAGTCCAAGCTACTCGGGAGGCTGAGGCAGGAGAATCATTTGAACCTGGGAGGCAGAGATTGCAGTGAGCCAACACAGTGTCACTGCACTACAGCCTGGGTGACAGAGTAAGACTATGTCTCAAAAACCAGCCAACCAAACAGACAAACAAAAAACTGATATATCATTTTTAATTTATTTGCTTGGCAAGATAACATTTGATAGCTCATTGTTGGTGAGGGTATGGAGGAGCAAGCCATCTTACACATTGCTGGTGAGAGTGAAAGTTGCAACAACTTCTGTGGAAGATTTCACAATATCATCAAAATTACAAAGGCACATATTCTTTGATCTAGCAATTCTACTTTCTGCTAGTACTGATTATACTATATATATACACACTGGAAATCACGTGGCAAAAGAAATTCACTTCAGCAAAATTAGGAATAGTACAATAGGACACAATCTTAATGTTGCTCGATGGAGAATCAGTCCACCGGTAAGCTGGAACATTTTGCAGCCATAAAAAGTAATTATGAAGCTCTTTACTAATAAAGGATGACTTCCATGATATATTAAGTAAAAAGAGCAAAGTGCAGAATTGCATTTATGGTATGCTGTGAAAATATATATGTAAAACACAGTACACATTATAGTTATATATAATTAGGTAATACATTATATATTATAGTATATTTTATATTAATACTTTTATTTCTAGAATGTTATTTGTATATTATAAATTAAATAAATACATATTTTGCCTCTTTTTTCATACAACTGGTAGCATACTATATATATGCATATATATGTATATATGGATTTGTTTTTTAATAAAAACTACATGTATTTCTTTTTTTTTTTTTTTTCAGTTACGGGATACTTAAGCTTGCCCCAAGCTGAGTTTAATTTTTTGTTCACAAGACAAAGTAACCCGTCTGTCTGCATTACTGTTTTTTTTTGGGGGGGGGGGGAGGTGATGAAACATTGCTTTTTAAAATGTTGATTTACAATAATCTTACTAACATGAGTCATAAAAAATTAGTCCTAAATAATTATAGCAGAACTTCGTGTCCTGTGCAGGAAAAAAAGTCATGTAGAATTGCAGATTACTTTCCAAGACAAACACATTCAGTCATCTAGCATTTACTCACCACCTACTACCTGAAACCTTATGAAGTTACCCTACACTGAAGAATATTTACCATGTCAAAGGTCTGTTAGATGATACTTGTATTTTATTATAAATTTTTAAATTATAAATCCATAGAAAATTAAAGATTTAAAAATCAATTGTATGAGTCCATTCTCACACTGCTATAAAGAACTGAGACTGGGTAATTCATAAAGAAAAGAGGTTTAATTGGCTCACAGTTCTGCAGGCTGTACAGGAAATGTGGCTGGAGAGGTCTCAGGACACTCACAATCATGGCCGAAGGCAAAGGAGAATCTAGCACATCTTCACGCAGTGGAGTAGCAAAGGGAGCCAGCAAAGGGGGAAGCACTACACGCTTCTAAACAACGAAATCTCGTGAGAATTCACTCACTATCACAAGAACAGCAAGGGGGATTCAATCACCTCCCACCAGGCCCCTTCTCCAACACGTGGAGATTACAATTCGACTTGAGATTTGGCTAGGGATATAGACCCAAACTAGATCATCAATTAACGAGTTCTCTTTCACACCACTACCCACAGTGTTCACTCTAATTTTAAATGTCTCAGAATGTACCCCCCCGTGATGGGTTTAACAACGTCACAGATATTTTCATCACGTGGCTTTTTAAAACTCACTGTGATGGGTTTAACAACATCACAGATATTTTCATTATGCAGCTTTTTTTTTTCTCAATTTATCCCTAATATCCCATTTTCTCCAAAAGGAGCTCTAAGTTTTTCTTCTCTGTTTTCACAGCCACCACCTTGATTCTGCCTCCTAACTTCTTCACACTGGACTTCTTTAATTTCCCCAAGCTTTGCATTTCATAAAGTCCCTAGACCACAGCTATTCTCCAGCATTTCCTTACCCTAATTGACGAATTCATCACCTGTTTCTACTAATGCTTCTCCCAGCCTGCGGAGCACAGACCCACCTGCCTGGCCTTCCACGCCATGCAGCTGAGACCTTTGGAAGGAAACAGTGTTATGGATTAAGCTCTTGCTTTTCTCACGTCTTGTTTCTGTTCCGTTGTCTCCTGACAACCCATGTCCTCGCTGCCAACAACTCACCTGCCCCACAATCTCTCCTTTAATGCTGGTTTTCCTAGCATTTTGGTTGAAAGGACCTTTTGTTATGAAGTGTTGTCAAAACACGCACATTTGAACTACGTTCTGAACCAGATTATTCTTCAAAGACGGAAACTATGAATTTTCCTTCTATATCCCTCTTGGTATCTAACACCTAGATCTGAAACCAACTCTATTCAATCAATGATTATTGATTGAGGGATGACGTCATGGGTTTCTTGAATCGACTTGGGTTGTGTACATCCTGCTGTGCAGATAAAAGGTTCTCAGGCAGGATCTTTCTAATCAGAATAGGGTTGTTCTCTGCACAGGTACAATCATATGAGGAATATAGTAAAATTGTCATATAATTCCACTTTTCATAGGAACTAGCCTTTGCTTCAATTATTCAATTATTTTGATATTTTACATAAATGTCAAAATGTATCTAAATTTTTTGGGAAATAAATGTGTGAAAGGGAATAAAAAATATCTGAAAAATATTTCAGTTCTTGTCTCTATTATGGAAATTTATAAACAAACCAAAAGTAGTCCAAAAAATCAAGAATCCACAAATGTTTCAAAATGTATATCATGGGCAAAAATTCTGGTTTGATTTCTGTGGTTCAAAACAACAAAATGCATTGTAACCTGAAATTTTTTCTTACATGTATACACATAAATACATGTATATTAAAGACATTTGAATTTGAGCATCAGATTGTTTATTTTTTTAAACCATTCTAGTCTTTCACTGACCTACATTGATTCCTTTACATGAAGAATGCAGTGGATATTTGGTAACAACAGTATTGTTTGAAGAAGTTTCCTTTTTATAAAATCTTCTCTAAAATGCAGACATCGTTATGAATAAATGCATGAATGAATAAATGCATCACTAATGAATAAAAAAAATTCCAAGCCATTGAAACATTGGGAAATTTTTAAAAGAGTAAAATTTTGGGGAAAAAAATGCCCCCAAAAAAACACCCCCAGGGTGTTCATTGTTTGCGATAACGTTTTATGGAACTGGTTCTCAAACATTAACATGCATAAAAATCACCTGGAGAATTAACAATACAGATTTCTGGGCCTCCCTCTTAATGGGTGTGGGGCCAGGCCCATGAATGAGCATTTTCACCATATTCACTAGATAACTCTGACACATGCAGGTAGGCAGCAAAAGGCAATTTTTAGAAACACTGATTCATCGAAAGCATCTCACCTTGTACCTCTAAAACCCTTCCAGGCCCGGCGNTTTTAGAGAAAGGGTCTGGCTATGTTGCCTAGGATGATGTGCAATGGCTATTCACAGGCCTACTACCATAGCACGCTACAGCTTTAAACTCCTGGCCTCAAGTGATCCTCCTGCCTCAGCCTCCTGAGTATCTGGGACTACAGGCATGCCACTGTGCCTAGCCTTATTTTTAATGTATGCATTTTTCTGCAGATAATTTACTATATCTGGAAGAATACTCAGGAAAATGGCAACACTGATTGCTTCTTGAGAATTGGGTGACTAAGGAGAGAAGTAGGTGGAAAATTTTTTTTGGAATACCTTTTGAATATTGTACCATGTGACAAAGTCTATCAGATAAAGACCACCGAGGAATACACCTGCAGTCAAAGTTAAGTTTATGAGTTTGCTGCTGTAAAGAAGACTCCACACCAGAGAAACCAAGGATATAACAGTAAGAGAACAGAAAGGAACTTTTACAGGATTTGGGCTTCTGTTGAATGACTGAGGAGAGTCTAGGGAGGCAAGGATCAGCTCTGGATTGAGTATCTCAGCAATCTGTTCAGAGGCAAGAGGAACAAAGTGAAGTCACTGGTAAGTAAGTGGTAATCACTGAAAAAAAGAAAGTTATTAGGTGTTTTACAGGTGTGGTGTGGCCTTGGGAAAAAGTTTTCTGATGGCCTTGCCACTGGCCCTATCTGTATCTAGTAGGTACATCACAGTCTGATTAAAATTAGCACTGATCTTTCCTTTCTCGGTCCTGAGCTGACTTTTGCTTTCTGACACTTGAGTGTCCTATCTATTCAAAAACTAAAGCATATTTTAAAGTAAAAAGAATGAAAGTAGACATTCTCCACACACTTCTTGATCCTAGGTTACCAGTTCCCTGACAAATAAGAGATTTATCTGGCAGACAAGAAAGTCAAATGTGTTTGTTTTCTGAGCAGTTCTGCTCTTTCCAACCATCAGATATGAAGAAATAACTATCTTCAGAAAAAGACAAGGGAACGTACCCCAATGCTGCAGTAGCTGATGCCAGGGAGACTCGAGTATAGGGGTGGCTCCAGGCACCATTTCCCCATCCCCTGCCATGGGCTCAGTACTTGACTCTTGAATCTCTTTTTTCAGTTGTTGTTACTCTTCTCCAGGATGCTAACTCTTAAAAAAGTGCACAGGCTAAAACATGCATTACCCTTAATAGGGATCTGTAGTAGAGACAGCAGTGTTTAGGACCAAGAAAAATCTTAGGCAAGTTACTTTACTTTTCACCATAAAGAAAATGAAAGGACTGGAGCAAATGATGTCTGAAATCTTGGCTAAGGCCCCAAAGATCAACACTGACAGCAAGCAACCCCCCTCCTCCCACTACAACCTTGTTGTTATGTTTACAGTAAAGCAATTATGAGAGGAAGCATAGTGTAGCATCAGATAAATTGTCTTCCAACCCTTTTCACCAGAAAAGGTAACACTTATGTATTTTTCCAGCTATTTGTATGCAGAGACAGTATCTTCTTCCTATTTCCTGTTTAGGAAAAAAAAAGCGAAAGTTCAGCTCGCTGCCTGCACTCATCTAATTTTACATAAACAGGCTCTTTGAGGGTGAAGCAAATCTGATTAATCTTCAATATGAAAATAAAAGATAGGGCCGGGTGTGGTGGCTCACGCCTGCAATCCCAGTACTTTAGGAGGTTGAGACCAGTGGATCATGAGGTCAGGAGATTGAGACCATCCTGGCCAACATGGTGAAACCGCGTCTCTCCTAAAAACAAAAATAAAAATACAAAAAAAAAAAAAAAAAATTAGCTGGGTGTGCTGGCGCATGCCTGTAGTCCCAGCTACTTGAGAGGCTGAGGCAGGAGAATGGCTTGAACCCAGGAGGTGGAGGTTGCAGTGAACCAAGGTCATGCCACTGCACTCCAGCCTGGCAACCAAGCGAGACTCCATCTCAAAAAAAAAAAGCTGGGGAAAGAAAAAAAAAAAAAAAAAAAAAAAAAAAAAACTTTTATTGGAATAAATGGTATTTTTTTTTTTTTTTTTTGAGATGCTGCCCAGGCTGGAGTGCAGTGGTGCAATTTTGGCTCACTGCAAACTCTGCCTCATGGGTTCAGGTGATTCTCCAGCCTCAGTCTCCTGAGTAGCTGGGATTACAGGTGTGTGCCACCATGCCTGGCTAATTTTTGTATTTTTAGTAGAGATGGGGTTTCACCATGTTGGCCAGGCTGGTCTCAAACTCCTGATCTCAGGTGATCTGCCCAGCTCGGCCCCCCAATCTTGGAGTTGTTTCTAAACAGAACTCGTCTCTAATCCTAATGGAACAGATATGTATACGATGATCGGTATTTAATAATTTTTTTGTGTGTGGTAAATTTCAAAGCATGGAACAACACAAAGCGGAACATCACATTCCGCACAAAAATAGCGTGTTTCTTTCCGTATCTTCTTGCCATCTTTGTCATATTGGGAACAGCAAATTTTGCAGCGACCAGTTGGATTCTGTTTCCCTGAAGTTGGTGGTATGCTCTTGGGGAAATGTCTTCCAGATAGACGAAGAGGTGTGACATCATCAGAGCATGGACGACCTCGAAGATGTTGCTGCCCTGGCTTGTGATGCTTTTCCAGCATTCTTTCAATCAATGTCAGTCTGAAGTTTATATGGCTCATGGTATACTCAGGATTGTCTTTCTTGAACAGGATGTAGGAGTTCAGCACTGTAATGTGTAGAAGGTGGTGAAAGAATTTCTTATACCAGACCTTGTGTCTTTTGCGCTCAGATGGATAAGAAGTAAGCATCTGATCAGCTGAGTCCACTGCTCCCATATTCTCGTTATAATCCACAATGACACGTGGCTTTTTAGTTTTCTTTCCATTTCTGTTGTTTACTTCAATCACGGTATCACTGTGGAATGTTGACAACATTGTCACCTCCTTTGTGTCACACCATTTCAGTGCCATAAGTTCACCACAGAATCTGGCTACAGTCGTCCCCTTTGCAATCCTTTTTTTCAGATCATTTGGAATCTGTTTTCTGTTCAAACGAGCTGTCCCAACTGCATCAGTCCTATTTTGATGTAATTCTCTGAAAAGCATGGGAGATATATTAAAGTTATCAAGGAAGACACAATACCCTTGGCCAAGAAGGTCATTGACCAAGGTAAGAACAATGCGTGATGATTTCAGACCATCAGCTGAATCTTTCAAATTCATACCGGGCCCTGTGTGAACAAGTGCATTCCACACATAACCAGATTGACTTTCACAAAGTACATATAGCTTCAGACCAAATCGTACGCGTTTTGTTGGGACATATTGCTTGATAGCTAATGGCCCCTTGAACAGCATCAGTGATTCATCAACTGCAATGTTTCTGTTTGGAGTATATACAGTTGAAAATTTATTTACAAGAAAGTCAAACACAGGTTTGATCTTCTGCAGTGAAATCTGGGCCTTTGATTGACCAGCGGATATGGAAGAATTGTTGACAAAATGCAGGCACCGAAACAAAAGTAAAAATCTTTCACCGGTCATAATTTGCCTGAGGTAAGGGGTATCCAAAAGAGGCCTTGTTGACCAAAACATCTCCAGCTCAGGTTTCTGCACAATACCTTGCAGTAACATTACTGCAAAAAAGACTTTCAGCTCGTCATTGTCAGTGTCTTTCCACTTATCCATTCGTGAAAATCCTTTTGGACCAGGTGGCTTTGAAGCCAACAAGGCAGCTTGGGCATTTGTTTCTCTAGTAATTTTTGAAACTAATTCCTCAGTAAAAAACAGTTCAAAATACTGCAATGGGTCAGTGACATCACTGACATCCACTTTTCTGCCAGGTGTGCCGGTAAAGTCATACCTTTGACGTGGAATCATAGCACGAGTTGACCATTTCAGAGAACGCCTTGAGTCCGTTGATGTAGGGCTCTTTCCATCAGATTCTAAATGGGACAGAGGCCTGAACTTATCATCTTCTAAAGCACTATCTGAAAAATTATCAGAATCGTCTATTTCCGAGAAATCAGATTCATCAAATGAATCTTCGGCCAACAACTGTTCGAGACCAGTATTACCATCACGCATAGGAATGGTACGTTTTCTCGGATTTGACATTTCAGCGATCAAGAATTACTATATTTTGTAAATGGTAATACCACTACTAAAAACAGAATGCTATAAATAGAATGATGTCTTTTGTTTCCAAAGTCAAAATACTAGGACCATGCAAAAATAACAGACGCGAGATATTTTGTGGCAAACGTTGGGAGTAAAGTCGGGACTGTAATCCAGGCGTTATCCCGGCGTCAATGCTGCAGTCGCAGGCACAGCAGCGCGTAATCTCGGGGATAAGGGGAAATGGGTTAAACGCACACAGACAGGAGCCTTTCATCTCATACGTCTTGGGGAGTCTCTAGAAGTTTTTTGAAAGCTCTCTTCTTGATGGTGTTTCTCCTGAAGCCAGTCCCATCATCTTTTACTCCCGTGAGGTCCCTGGCCTCCGTGGCTGCCACAGCAACACACACTTCACTTTCACTTCACGGGCGGTCCCCTTCCTGAGCATTTGACACATGCTCTGCGCACGGCCTTCCAACCCGGAACGCCGGGAGTTTAGGGCAGTACTTCCGCCTTTCTTCCGCCTCGCTGGTAGATCGGCCATGATTTCTTCCCTCTGGTTGGATCCCACAGCTTATGACAGAAACGGGCGCCCACTGATGACGACATGAAGCCGCCAACGGCGGCGGTGGCGGCCGGGAGACAGGGAAGGCTTCCGGGGCTGCCGACCTGAGTGTAGAGCTTCTGTCATGGCGGCCGCTCTGTGGGAATTCTTTCCAGTCCTGCTGCTGCTGCTGTCGGGGGATGTCCAGAGCTCGGAGGTGCCCGGGGCTGCTGCAGAGGGATCGGGAGGGAGTGGGGTCGGCATAGGAGATCGCTTCAAGATTGAGGGGCGTGCAGTTGTTCCGGGGGTGAAGCCCCAGGACTGGATCTCGGCGGCCCGAGTGCTCGTAGACGGAGAAGAGCACGTCGGCTTCCTTAAGTGAGCATCCTGAGGGCAGCGGGAAAAAGTCTGGGGTGGAGGCGGGACAGGGACCCCACTAGGAGCGTTAAGTGTCAGGACGTGACGACGTCGCTCAGACTGAAGGGGAGGGTGCCGCTAACGGTCTATGCCAGGAGACCGGGGAAGGCAGTCAGATGCTTTCCCTTTCTCGGTCCTGTACCTCTGGAATGAGGATGGCAGGCGCTCACCCCCTGCCCTGGTCAGAGCATGGAGTTAGTTATTTTTAACCTTATTTTGGCCCCATATGAGAACGACCATTCCTGCGCCCTGAGGGCAGGTGGACCCTTATTTGTCTCTTGGTTTCTTTTGTATCTCATCTGGTTTCCCTAGAACCTAGTCGTTTTTTGCATTCATTTCAGTCTTTTGGTAGCTTGTTATTATGTAGAAAGATGCGACACAACTGGGAATTCTCAAAACCCAAAGGGCTTCTAGTGACGACAGACTGGGAGGCTAATGTTACTGCTTCTAAAATTAATAGGCACTGAAATCCCTAGTTAAAAGCACTTTTGGCTTTTGGCTTGAGGGTGGGCATGCTGTTCCTTTTTACACTTGAATTCATCGAGGGATTTGCTATATCACACTTGTCATTTATGTGAGACTAGTGTTTCTCTACATTGCTTTCTTCTGTCCCTTAGTGCTATCAGTGGAAGTGGGATTTCTGTCTATATTAAAAGACAGGATGAATTTGTTAGCACTAGTTTTGCAGCAGTTTGCTTTTGAAATGTCTAGGCACACATATGTTCTTTTAAATCTTTCCACCCTTACTTGGAAGGTGAAACTGCAAACTGAAAGAAAGTAATTAGTAAAAAGTGTTTCTTTTAATGGGTTTGTACACCAGCAAATGATATCTGAAAATCAGACAAATGTGGACATTTAAATCTAAATCTGATTTACAGATTTGTTCACATCATGTAAGTGTCCTTGAATGGTAATTCCAACCTCAGATTAATAAATAGTGACAGATTGACAACCAGTATTTTACTGCCATCTATCGTTAATAATCTGGCATTAGGGCATTCTTTAGAGTTTACCCTAATTAATGATGTTTTAATGATAAAGTTCTCATTAAGCTTTAGAAATGAGCCTTAATTGACCATTTGACCACTCTTCTGCTGAATACAGTTCTTTTAAAAAGCACTTAATTTCTGTTTAAAAATAGTATATTAGAAACAAGAAAGAAGGGAAAAAACCCTTAATGATTTAATGTTTTATTGTATCTTTTTTTTTTTTTTTTTTTTTTTTTTTTTTTTTTTTTTTTTTTTTTTTTTTTTGAGACAAGATCTTGTCCTGTCACTCAGGCTGGAGTGCAGTGGCGAGATCATAGTTCATGGCAGCCTTGAACTTCTGGCCTCAAGTGATCCTCCTGCCTCACTCAGCCTCCTAAATAGCTAGCACTACAGGCAGATGCTACCATGTCCAGCTAATTTTTTTATTTTTTGTAGAGACAGAGTCTTGCTATGTTTCCCAGTGTGGTCTCAAACTCCTAGCCTTAAGTGATCCTTCTGCCACAGCCTGTCAAATTTCTGGGATTACAGGCATCAGCCATGGTGCCTGCCATTTTTCCAGCATCTTTGGGAATCATATGATTTATGTTTTTACTAGTAAAATACAATATATAGTAGTTTATAAGCTGCCTTTTTCACCTAACATTTTTGAACAGCTTTTGATACCATTTCATGTTATTTCATTTATATGTAGAAAGGTTGATGGAGAATTGCCCAGTGCAGTGGCTCATACTTGTAATCTCAGCACTTGGGGAGGCTGAGGTGGGAGGATTGTTCGAGCCCAGGAGTTTCAGACCAGCTGGGGCAACATAGTGGGACCCCATCTCTACAAAAAATAAATAATTAGCCATGAGTGGTGGTATGTACCTGTAGTCCCAGCTACTCAGGAGGCTGAGGTGGCAGGATTGCTTGAGCCAAGGAGGTCGAGGCTGTAGTAAGCTGTCATCATGCTGTTGTACTCCAGCCTGGGCTACAGAGCAAAACCCTGTCTCTCAGGAAAAAAAAAAGGTTGATGGAGAACTGATGTGAGGAGTTTATGGTGATAATCTCATTGGAAAAGGGGTACGTAATTTGTATTATAGCTGTTTTGCATGACTAGCACACAGTTTTGACTTACATTTATCCTTATTGGAGGTGGCTTAAGACTTGGTTAATGGAGATAAATGGAATTGGGCCTGAAGACTCCTCGCACCATTTCTTGCTATTATCACAATGTATATAAGACATAATTGATTTAACCAGTCCTCTGTTTATGGACAGGTAGTTTTCAGTTTTTTTTTTTAACATAATAATTTTATATTCTATAGTTTTTTGAACTTCTTATGGAAATTTTCAGACATGCATAAATAGAATGGCATTCTGTTTTGTTTCATGTCTTTTATGTACCTCATTTTTTCTGAAATATTTTTATATGGCTCTAAGCATAATATGATTTTACTTGTAAAAGCATCATTATGTATCTCTAAAACATAAGGACTTAAACAAAAACCATATTACCATTATTGATTCAACAAAAATAATCATGCCTTAATATCATCTAATAGTCTTATTTTTATGTTTCCTCGGTTATCTCAAAAATGTTTTTATGTAATTGTTCTTTCTTTTTTTTTTGAGACAGAGTTTTGCTCTTGTTACCCAGGCTGGA